TATTTCTGTTTTTAGTTCTATTATCTGTTAGATTTCCAGTGTGTTCCCATACTAGTGTTTCATTTGAAATATAACTCACATGCTCCTCGCCATCTGTGCACAGGGGTCTGTTGGTGAGCGCTGTCAGGGGTTTTCTGAAGGGAGAGATGTAGGTTTCTCGACAGCCTCTCTTACTTTGTGATGCCTGTAAAGTAAAACCAGTGTAAACAGTCCATCATGTCCTCACTGATGCTGAGAATTCAGTCAAGACAAGAGCTTTGGGACCGACTCACGATGTCAGGCTCCCAGTCCTCATCATCTGAATCCGGCCCTTGTTTCCTTTTGGCCACCTGACTGGGTGCTAGACTTCTCCTCTGCAGGTATTCATAATTGCAGAAGGTTTTAATGAACTTACTGAACACGAATCGACAACAATCAGAACATAATGCGTATACATGAAGATTAACGTTACAGGTATCTAAGCATAACGTTACATGAATCAACATTTATAACGAATTGAGAGATTAAAATTGCAACCTACCATTCTGAATCAGGAATTTAATCCAAATTAAATGAATACATTTAAATAGATGTGCCTTTTTCTGTCTTTTAAAAAGCCTTCTCTTCTTTTTCTTCTTTCTTTGGCAACAGAAGCGCCCTGCCTCTGCATTAAATAAATAACTCCCACAGCAAAAACTCGTCGTTTTAAACTACCACGAATATCTTATTTAAGAACATATCAAGTAACCAAAATGTTAGCTTTTGTTTTCGTTATCAAACACCGGCGTATTTGAGAGTCCCGCGCATAGTTCACACACAACACTACGGCGAACGGGAAGGGACAAACTCTCTGACATGCGTTTCGAAAAATAAATACCGCTCCGACAGTAGAGCGACAGAACATCATAACTAATTCAGCGTTTTATAATAATATTATAAATATTTAATTTGATTACATAATATTATTAACGGCGAACGGGAAGGGACAAACTCTCTGACATGCGTTTCGAAAAATAAATACCGCTCCGACAGTAGAGCGACAGAACATAACTAATTCAGCGTTTTATAATAATATTATAAATATTTAATTTGATTACATAATATTATTTGTCATTACTTGTCAGTGTAAGTGAGCCCATGGCATCAAAATAGAAATATATATTTTTATAATGTCTTGGTCTTTTATTTTACTTGATATTAAGGGTTGTATGTTTGTTAATAACAGTAAAAGACAGTTTTAAAACATAGAATTTTCCTTAAGGTTTCTGTGCTGCTGTATGTTATTGGCTAAACATGCATTTTTAGATTCTACTTTGGAATTCTAAGTTGAGCGTATTTTATATAAACGTCCGCTAGATGGCGCGGTTGGGTTATATTTATATTGTCTGCAGCATTGGCAGCAGGGGTCGGTGGAGAAATGGCGTTCAAACTTGTGCATTCTGTTTCTCAGGGGTCAGATATCATGAATTCATCATCTCTTGTGTGAAAAATAACAGAAAAGACAAGTAAAGTTATAGTAGTTCAATAGAAAGATCTGAGCATTAGTAAGCCCCAGAGAACATAGACGTCTCCACAGCACTGTGCATAAATTGCCTTCATTCCATGGCCATCCTAAATTCGATGTGATACTAGAACAAATATGTTATTAAAATAGTATATTAACTTGTTTACTGTTTAGCACACATAAAGGCCTCAGCAGAAAGTTTCCATATGAGTGCTCTCACAGCACAACATGTTTATACTAAACACAGACAAGTGTCTGATTACTGTCTTCCCACGTGCTGTTAGTGTGTGGGTCTTTAAGAACAAAAGGTAAGTGAACGCGTCCCTGCATCCCAATGTGCATACAGTCCACCCTATCTGCTCTAAATAGTATTGAAAATAACTAATATCACTTATATTAGTTCGAAAATGCATTAGCCTATTGATTTGTTTATAGTGGGTTTCATAGAGAGAGAAACTGACTTGTCTGGTATGTAAATGTTGGTGCAAAGCAAAACAGAAAATGAAACACGTGGTATGACACACAAAGATAAAATGTATTTCTCTTTAAATGCATCATCTGTATAAAAATCTGAGCAATAAATTCCAGGTATATACATTTTTTAAATAATACAAAATATAATTATGATAACATGTATACCAAGAAAAAGAAAAATGCAATAAATACATCAAACAATAGCAGTAATTTCCCTTAAATAAAGCAGGGGATGCATAGCATCCAAAGGGTAAAATGATACATCCTGAAGGAAAGGAATTCACTGCGCCTTCAAGACTAAACCTGCTTTCCTCAGATCTCAGAGGAACAAAACTCAAAACTGACCAAAACCAACCAGATTATCAGAACAACATTATTGCAATTTATATAAAGCGAGTGATGTGTCATCATGTGATGAACATCTGGCATCTTTCAAATGTTGGATAATATAGTAGATAATCTATTAGATCTATGATCTATGAGTCAAAAAACAGAAATGCAACACAAAAACAGCGCCAAAACACTGCAAGTAATCTAACAAAACATTAGGAGGTTAAGCTGATGTCTACTCTATGGTGTTTTCTATTAATCGAACGCTTAATAGCAATACAAAACAGTTGGTAAAATCCCTGTTACATTCAAAGGCAGTAACAAAAATGGAATTTGTGATTTTTAATTCCCTTAATCATAAAATGCTTTTAGTTTGAGGGTGAATCTCATGATAACACATTCTGGTCACCTTTAAAAATAATATAAAAAATAAAATAAATTACGCAATTTGTACTGTAACAGTCATTTTATGTACTACAGTAAAAAAAACATGTACAACAAATACTACTATAATGTATAAATACAATATAATTTATGCATTATATTTTTACATTAAAGTATCGAGAATGTGAGTTTTGGGAGAAATATATTTAATTGATGAAATGAAATTAAAAATATGAAAATATTTATAATATAAAAATCGGCTTCAATTTTTAAAAACAAAGTAACATTTTCTGTTTATTTCTGTTGAATTTACAGTGGAACACATGATCCAGACATGTTCCTCTGAGAATGAGTTCACAGGTAATTATAGTGTCTTTGAAAACATTACATGTGATATATAAGCAAAAGTTAAAGTAAACCATGAGATTAATACAGTAAGTGTGAGAAATGGAATAGAAGAGCGTGACGGTCGATTATAGAAGTGTAAACCACAGGTTTCATTTCTACTGCCCACTGTCCCTACCTGAGGTGATCTGCTATTTATATATCTATCTATCGCTTTGGTATGTCATTCAACTTGCATACAATAAGTCAACACCCAAAAACATGAAATGTGACAATGTCTCAATTAAAATCCTTTTTGGTAAACTGGTACAGTGCTGTGTGCTACGAACCTTAGCCAGGGCACCATTTCATCTAACTGACAAATCAAATGTCACGTATCCCGACAAAGATCTAGAACATGAAAACAGAGATATCCACTCGAGCAGTGAAACAAAAAACTATGTTGATCAAAGAAGTTCGAAATGAAAGAGGTATTTCTTGATAGCAGAGGTTACTGAATGTGGCATCAGGATAACTGGTTAGCTGTTAGTTGTGTTTGTGCAAGTGTGTAACGCCAAGAGCACATTACAAGACGGTCACAAATCAACCTGAGTCATTTAAACACTCACGGGTCAATTCACTAGAGTTTTGCTTGCAAAAACCTGCATATTATTCATGAACAACCCGCAATACATTTTCATCTGTGCTGGTACAGCAATGTGCAGTATTATTTTCACTTTTAAAGAAGCCTCTTCTGCACACCAAAGCCACATTTATTTGATCAAAAATACAGTAAAATTACAGTAATATTGTGAAATATTATTACAATTTAAAATCGCTGTTTTCTACGTGAATATATGTTAAAATGTAATTTATTCCTGTGATCAAAGCTGAATTTTCAGCATCATTACTCCAGTCTTCAGTGTCACATGATCCTTCAGAAATCATTCTAATATGCTAATAAACTAATTATTATCAATGCTGAAAACAGTTGTTCTGCTTCATATTTTTGTGGAAACCAGAATGTTTTTTTCAGGATCCTTTAATGGATAGAACTTTCAAAAGAACATTTCTATGAAACAGAAATCTTTTGTAACATTATTAATGTTTTACTCTCACTTTGGTCAATTGTTGCTGAACAAAAGTATCAATTTCTTACCGACTCCAAACTTTTGAGCAATAATGTAAATTAGGTCACTGACATTCTTTTAAATCCAAGAATGATTAATTTCTATGTAAAACAGGCCTTTTATAGAATACAACATTATTCCGAAAATTCAGCGCTTGTACTGCTTATGGAAAGCAGGCGGAATTTGTTTAAAAGAGAAAAGAGTTGAAAAGAGTTAAAAATAGTTTGTGTACGTTTTCTAGCGATCATGGCAGCAGTAATTCATCTAATGATGATCAGATGATGGAAGAGAGTGTTATAACTAGGCATACGTCCAGACATGCAGTGTAATCGAGCATGATTTCATCATTATAAAGAGCCGATGCAGGACTCCACCACTTAGCGTTCAGAACCGGCCTGCAGACTGGTAAAATGCTGCATGCAACATGCATATCTGGAAAAAAAAACTACTCACAAACATAAAAAAGTGACACGCTTCAGTCTTGTAATGTGCACATGGCTTAAGGAAAGTGTGTGTATATTAAACACACATGCTGAGCTGATAAGTGAATTAAAAGCACCTTCTGTTCTGTTATAATGAACCTTCATGGTATCCACGTTCTTAAAACACCTCTAATTTCAGATCATGTGAAATGTAGGCCTTCAAGCTGCTTTTCACAAACTTTCCATGCAGAACTGCAGTCTGGAGCAGGAATGTGACGACTCGCTTCACAGCTCTCCAAGGTCACATGATGCAAATCCCTACGGTTTCCGACCGTCTCCCTGCAGGACGTCCCGTATTCCTGTGGTTCCTGTGCTGACGCTAGCAGATCCGCTGCGTTTGCAGTGCATCATCAGGAGCGCTGCATCCCGTTCCTTGCACTGGAATTCCCTCGCTTTCTACACCGGAGCTTTGGGTTGATTTTAGCGGCTGCGTCTCCTCGGCTTCTCTCATCCCACACAGCTGCAGTTGGCCGCTGAAAGCCATTTGATGGTCTGCCAGCTCGTCTGGGCGTCCATGAAGGAGACGGTCTCGAAGCGCGTGGGTCTGCAGCAGGGGTGAGTGCTCACCTTGCGGCCAGAAATGCTGCCGTTATCCGTCAACACCTTCAGGGCCAGGTCGTAGTTCTTACGGGCGCTCATGCACGTCCCCACGCAGTACTTAAACACCACGATCTCGTCCGAGTCGTAGCCGAGGCCCAGATCCCGCACCTTCATCTCTTTCCTCTCCAAACGGCAGTCCTGGCTGCTCCGGCCTCGCTTACGGTTGCGCCGCTCCTTACGGTTCCTAGTGGACTTCCGTGAACTGGAGCTGTTTGTAGAGGAACGCTGCCACCGAATCCGATGACCCTCGTTCTCCTCGGCCAGGGACGAATCTGAGGAGACAGAAAACACTAGCTGATGAGAGAAGTGACCACAGAATGTGACCAAACATAAAGATTCTGTCATTTCGTTACAAACCCATATGACTTTTTTTTCTTCTGGGTGACCGATAGGTGAAATTCTGAAGAATATCTTAGTAGCTCAAGGTAAATTGGGGATATTAAGTTTGAAAATGACAAAAACCACCATAAAAGCATAATAAATTATGCAACATTTAGTTCTGGTCCTTGATCTGATTGGTCAAGCAGAGTGCTAATATAACAGTCCAACAGCACTGGGAATTTTCACTGTTTCACTTTCATTTCTTTTTTAATACCAACTCTATTTTAAAGATTTATTTATTATTAAATGTGGAAAAAAATCAAGAATTGAATAAAGTCAACTTTTTTTGGTGGTGAGGGTTAAACTAACAATATTGATTATATCATTTGTCTTTTGGTCAAACCATGGGGACTTATAATGACAACTTGATGTCATTACTTTTGTTTATAGATTATAAAAAATTATAGTATATAAAGTATATAAAGCATAAGAAGTTTTACACAAAAGAGGGTCTTTGAGACACTACAAGGTTTGTCTTTACTTATATACTCCATTTCGTTACTATTTGTGACCCTGCACCACAAAACCAGTCCATAAGGGTCAATTTTTATGAAATTGAGATTTATACAACATCTGAAAGCTGAATAAATAAGCTTTCCATTGATGTATTGTTTGTTAGGATAGGACAATATTTGGCCGAGATACAACTATTTGAAAATCTGGAATCTGAGGGTGCAAAAAAAATCAAAATATTGAGAAAATTGCTTTTAAAGTTGTCCAAATGAAGTTCTTAGCAATGCATATTACTAATCAAAAATTTCGTTTTGATATATTTACAGTAGGAAACTTACAAAATATCTTCATGGAACATGAACTTTACTTAATATCCTAATGATTTTGGCATAAAAGAAAAATCTATAATTTTGACCCATACAATGTATTTTTGGCTATTGCTACAAATATACCCCAGCGACTTAAGACTGGTTTTGTGCTCCAGGGTCACA